GGCATATAAGATACTTTAGAGCTTAATTGTTGGTGTTCATGTATGCATCTAATAGAATATGTAAACTTAAAAGCTTATATCGACCTTATAATACTGGAGTGCAATACCTTAGACTTTGAGGAAAATCGTGTACACACAAAACAAAAAACACTTATTCAGTATACACGTTTCCTTTTGCATGAATGCAAAATTCATGGATCTAGATTTTGTGTTTAAGGGTCAGTTCAGTAATAAAGGTGGATTTTAATTGCCTGTATTTTATGCTCCCCAAATCGAAGATTCAGGGTATAAAATTTTTGCCATGTTCGTCCGTCTGTCTGTCTCTTTACATGTTAATCTGTTGGTCTGGTTGCCCGTCTGTCCACAAAATCTTTAACCTTTCAAATGACTTTTGGTTGAGACCATGGCTTTCATATTTTATATGTGTATTCCTTGTGACAAGACTTTTCTTTTGATACCATCAAATTGATCCTTTGACCTTGGAGTTTGACCCAGATTTGCCTTTTTTTTTGCCTTTTTTATTTATTATTTTTTTTACATATCTTTTACCTTGGCCATAACTTTCAAACAGTTAGTGCTAGGGCACTAGGGGTATGAGAATGTAATCATACTTCACATATGTTATCTTTGTGACAAGACGTTCCATTGGTAACCAACAACTTTGACCCTTTGACCTTGGAGTTTTACCTACTTTTAAAAATTTTAAGTTTTGTCGTAACTTTTGAACGATTGGGGCTAGTACTTTCATACTGCACATATGTAATCCTTCTGACAGGACGTTCTATTGGATATCAACAACTTTGGCACATTGACCATGGAGTTTTACCTACTTTAAAAACTTTAACCTTTGCATTGGAGATTTCTTTTGAACGGTAATTGCTAGGGCTGTCATATTAATATACGTTATCCTGTGACATGTTCTTCCTTTAGATATCAAAAAACTTTAACCTATTGACCTTGGAGTTTTACCTTCTTTTAAAAAACTTTAATCTTGTCTTTAACTATTAAACAGGTGGTGCCAAGGATTTTTTTTACTTCTTAAGTTTTTTCATTTCTTGTAAAAAGACCATGTCCTTACCTTGGGTGCCAACATAAATATACAATGAAGCGCATTGAAGTGGTAAAATTTTCCGTTTGGATGGAACGTTTTGAGCTATCTTAAGACACGCCCATTTCTTTAGAGAGGAAAAATCGGTCAAATGATTCAATCGAATACCTGTTGAACAGGTATTCCATAAATTTAGTAGCCAATCAAATTGACGGTCTGCATAAACACAGAGTAAGCGCGTGTTCGACCGATACATGTGTTATGCTAACTCCAATAAACATGATAACATCATAATTATGTACAAATTCGTTGAAAAGCGTGTTTTACAAAAGCGGGGACTCTCTATATAGTTTTTTCATTTCTTGTAAAAAGACCATGTCCTTACCTTGGGTGCCAACATAAATATACAATGAAGCGCATTGAAGTGGTAAAATTTTCCGTTTGGATGGAACGTTGTGAGCTATCTAAAGACATGCCCATTTCTTTAGAAAAGAAAAATCGGTCAAATGATTCAATCGAATACCTGTAGAACAGGTATTCCATAAATATAGTAGCCAATCAAATTGACGGTCTGCATAAACACTGAGTAAGCACGTGTTCGACCGATACATGTGTTATGCTAACTCCAATAAACATGATAACATCATAATTATGTACAATTTCGTTGAAAAGCGTGTTTTACAAAAGCGGGGACTCTCTATATAGTTTTTTCTTATCTAAAAATCTTCATTTAGTGTAACTCATGTTGCTTGTCGCGGAAAGTGGGATGCCCTAGAACATTACAACGCATGATTCTTACTCGTTTCTAAAGAAATGGGCGTGTCTTTATGTTATAATTGACGGTCAAAGCATGACTCAGAACGTTTCATCCAAATGGAAAATTTTACCACTTCAATGCGCTTCATTGTATTTGATTTGCATTTGAGAAGATTTAACCTTCACAATAAGTTGCCAAACGGAGGCATTCGTGTTTCAGAAACATCTTGTTTATTAACATGCAAGGCATTTGAAAAAGTTGATACAATACAACAATCTGTAAAATATTCATGTAATTCTTTCACTTTTCTATTTCATAACATTGAATCAACAGAAGTTTTTTATTGCTTTAAAACAACACATTTGTTTAATTCTTGTATTATTTTATTGCATAACGTATAAGAAACATTCTGAATATAACATATATAAAAGCGGTATGGCGGTTTCCATTGATATGATATGTATGAGGACTTTAATTAACAACTGCTTTAAGAAATATTCAAAGGACTGTTTATTAATGAACCAAAAAATGTCTAATTTAAAGCAAGCGGCAAGTGGCAAGGAAAGAAATGTCAAAGTTCTGAAAATTGCGGACAGAGGTCTCCTTTAAGATTTGACTAGTATTTCCTTCGGAGCTACTGAGTGAAGTGTTACTGGTTTAAAAAAAAACGCATTGGTTACTGTATGCTAGTAAATCTAGTGCAACTCTAGCCGGAAGAATAATCAATGCTTTCAATTGCTTTGAGTCCATTCAGCCAGCTTTATCTTTTTTATTTTATTTTTTTTAAATTTCTCATTGATGTTTTTTTTTTGTCTTGCTAGAACGTCTTAGTGACTCCATTTAGAATTATTTTTAAAAAATTAACTAAAATAATTAATAATTTTTATAAACGGCACCTTTGGAGGATTACCGTAATTGATTACATCTTAACGAACTAAGAGTTGTATACAAGTCATTTTTAAGCAAACATCATGCGAAATCAATATTTGTATCATTTAGTTAATTAAGGTAGGATTCTTCTCACACAAAACTTTATTTTTTGTATTTAAAAGTTAACGAAATTTTCACAGAATCAAGAAGACAATATTACTAAGTGATGATATCAGTTAGATAAGTTTTGACCGTTTATTATTAGAATCAAGGTCAGGTCAAGGTCATTACATTTTTTGGCTGATATTTGTACTTGGATTGGAAGATTTTAAAGCTAACAGAATTGTAGTTTGTTTGAAAATTCATATTTATTTGATATATTTTTAAACGTAAGTTCTTTATAATTGATTTAGTTAACATTTAAAAAATTCTCCTTGTCTGTGATTGTGTAAAAATTATAACTAAATTCGTTATTCTAAAATAATTTTGAGAGGCAGAAAAGAAGATATTGTCATACGCCACCATTCCGCCAAAAATAAAGTCCCTGTTAGTTTTCGAACACAATTTACCAGTTCTATTTAAAGTTGTACAATTCTGATGAGGAAAGAAAAATATGGTCTTTTAAATCTATAAGACGTATACGCAAATATACATTGAACATTTCATCTATTCATAAACCAGAGAAGAATCCTACCTTAAATAATATCGAAAATATATTTTTTAAGGTTCATTGATACTCTGATAAGAGGGATAACTCTTAATGACATAAATGTCTATTATTCCTTTATAAATTTGCCAAGTTGAAGTGTCTTTTTTGTCCAATTTTGCCCCGCAAGCTATGTTAAAATTGTTAATATGTTACTTATAAAATACATTTCTTTTGGAAAATCATTAAGGTACTAATAACATTTTATTTGAGTGAAAATAAAATAAGCTCACATTTATATGATAGTTATTTTCTCGATGTCCAAAGTAATTGTTTTATTATCTAGGGGTTTTAATTAAGGATCTGTGTAAGAGGTTCTATCTAATTTATGTTCCTAAAATTGTGGCCTGTGAGTTGCACCTAAAAACTTAATTATAATTAAAAAAATTGACAGAAACTGTTCTTCTTAGGAATTTCCTAGATAGAGCCACAATTTATACATATTTAAAGTCTAGCCCCTTTTAACTGGAGTATTCGGTTGCAAACTGTTCCAATTCTTTTATAGTGTTTAGTAAGAGCAAGCTAGCAGTCAAACCTCTTAAAACAGGCACTTAAACTTAATACATGAATTTTAATTTATATGTACAAGTGTAACGCATACTTTCCTTTTTGCAAACGAAAAGGTATGGCAAGAATTACTTCTGATATTCTGATTCACTTCAGTCAAGCTGAATTCTACGTTAGGCTTTATTTTATTTGTTTTTATTTGTTTTGCTGATATTGTTATCATTATATGTATAACAAGAAAAGGATTAACTAAGTTGTGAAAACTTATTCATACTTCGAATTTTACGTTGGTTATAATTTTTGAGTGATTGATGCCATGGTTTTCATATACACTAGTATTTCACAGGCCTATTTCATATTAATATTTATACAAAACCTTTGTTTGTGTTGCAACACTTCAACCTCTTTACAATGACTTTGGAGCCCTTCTTTTTGTAAAAATTTAATTTTGGCCTTAAATTTTGAATAATTAAAGCTAAGACTTTTGTTTATCATCCGTGCAGACTTGTAAATTTGACCTACGCTTCTATAAACTTCAGCTTTGCTTCTAACTTTTGAACGGTTAGTGCTTGGTCTTACATCTTCCTTGTGAGAAATACTTTTCAAATATAATTTATACCTATAATTCTTGGCCTTTTCTTTGGATTATGACATGTTTTTGAAAAAAAAAAGCTTAATCTTTGGCCATGTTTTTGAATGGTCAGTGCTATAGCTTTCATATTTCACACATGTGTTCCTTGTGGCAAATCCTTTTTTTGGGTATGAAAATTTTTGAACTCTTGATTTACAGTTGAAAAAAAATAACCTACATTTACAAAAAAAAACTTAAACTTTGACTTAATCGAGCTGTAAATGTGGCATCAGTGAACACATCTCGTTAAGAATATTTATAACACGTCTTTATAGATAAAGCAGTTGCCTTTTCCCCATGTTTAGTTGGTTTTTAAACAAGTAAATCAAACAGACGTTTTGTACAATTATTTATCATGCACTCTGTTATCTCATTCGTCCTTTCTTTTTGCTTCAGTCAATCCCATTGTACTTTCAGTAGCAATACAAAATAACTAAATGTACACAGATGTTTAAAAAATATATTACAGGTTAAAAGTACATAAAATCCCAGGAGAGATAAATATGCATGTGTATCTTGATGTAACGTAGATTGCTACTTTAAGCATGGAATATCCTACTTGCATTTTAATTTTTCATGGTTTTAAAGTGGAGTATTGACAGTAGATATGAAAGGTAAGCAAAATGTTACTGATATCAAATATCAGTCAGAAAATAAATATATACCCGGTATACTTTAAATTTAGCTCTGAGAAATTAGTGAGAATCAAATGAAGCCTTTTTACATGTAAAAATGTGTTAACTATATTAATCAAACATAGTTATTGATTCGTATGTTTCTTCTTACATACGCCTTTAGAGATAAAAAGGTGGATGAAATATTTGATATTTCTTTTTTCTATTTTCTAAAAATTCCCTTGGTGATGTCAAAGATGGTTTGCATGTTTTACGGAATAGGTAATTATTTTTATTATCAGTAGATCTTATTTTCAAAATTAATGAGCAAATAGTTCTATTGATTAATATTGATAACATTCCATCATATGTAGTGTGTCGATGTGCTACTATATAGGTCGTCCATTTAAATCTGAAGGAGGTCAAATATTTCATTAATAAAACAGATCCATGGGAATTTAACTCAGTCCGATTTTTATTAATATAGTGGCTTACATTTAGTTTATGAGCATTATAATAATAATAATGAAAGGTCCTTTGACTACTTACTGGACATAATTTGAGACATCGAACACATGGACAAAAAGTGCCTCCTATTCTGTAGAAAAGAATGTTTTCAAAATTTTCAGAAAGCCTTATTTACAAATAGGAATTATATCATCGTCTCTTTTTTTGTATGTTTCGACTTCAATTTTGGTGTTTATTGAATAGTTTACATATCAATTTTCATGACATCATATGACTAAATCTTGTAGCTTGCATTGATGACAACTACATGACAGTGCAATAGAGTTGACATCTATGTGAAACATGGTAAGAATGTGTTTTTCATATAGAACAGAATGTTCACATTTATACTTTTCTTTAAAATGCTATATCTTAAAGCTTAAAGTATTTTCCTCAACCGTGCCAAAGCTCTCTCTCTCTCTCTCTCTCTCTCTCTCCAGTATTTATAGCGTATATTGCTTGAAAATGATACAGTTGAAATTCGCTATCATGAACACTGATACCTCGAATGTCATGAATAAAACATATAGAAATAACAAACTGTTCAAGATCAAAAGTCAATAAAACAAAACAAAACCGAAGCAGAAACAAGAGGCCCACGGGCCTTATAGGTCACCTGAGTATCTTGTAACAACTTTCCAACAATTGAATTGGCTCGTGTATTAAATGAAAGGCCATGAAATTCAAAATTTTGAAATACTCACTATTGCTTATCATAACTATACACTTAGCTTGCTTACTTTGGTTATTTAATACCCAGAGGTAGATCAGAGTAACAAAGAGAAAATGCATTTCCACTTTATAACCAGTTGTGCACCTAACCCTACAGGAACCACTGACCAAGCACATATTTCAAAACTCTGGAAATTTTATCATAAATTTTATTTCATCATAAATGGTTGATTAATACCAAAAAGCAGATTTCAGAGCATTGATTTATTTTCAGACTATGTAACCCACCCACCCCCAGTACCCTGACCCAGGGGCCCTGAAATTAACCACTTTGGAAGAGGCACCTTTCATCATCATTAATATGTACTTAGAACATTGGCATAATACCCAGGAGCAGAAGATAAAAAATTCATGCATTTTCACTATATAATCATTAGAGCCCCGCCCTAAAACCAAAACCCCGACCCTGAGACCCTGAAATTCACCAATCTGGAAGAGGCATCCTTCCTCATCATAACTATGTACATAGTTCATTGGTTTAATACTCAGGAACAGAGAAGAAGATTTTTAAAGAATTAATGTATTTTCACTATATAATCAATAGAGCCCCACCCTAACACCAGAACCCCTGACCCCAGGGCCATGAAATTCACAATTTTGGAAGAGGCAGCCTTAATCAACATAACTATATGTTTTGTTTGTTTATTAAATACCCAGGAGCAAAGAAGAAGATTTTCAAAGAAATAATGCATTTCACTATAAAATCTATATAGCCCCGCCCTAGCTAGCACCAAAGAACCCATGACATTGGGGCCATGAAATTCACAATTTTGGAAGAGGCAGGCTTATTCAAGATAACTATGTATTTTGTTTGTTTATTACATACCTAGGAGCAAAGAAGAAGATTTCCAAATAAAATAATGCATTTCAGTATCTATATAGCCCCACCCTAGCACATAAGAATCCCTGACCCTGGGGCCATGAGATTCACAATTTTGGAAGAGGAAACAATGCTGATTACAATTATGCAAACAGTTTGACTGCTTGATGTCCAGGAGTAAAAAAGAAGATTGCACTAATTTTAATGATTTTGGCCCCATCCCTCAGGCCCCAGGGGGACAGAGACTATGAAATTCACAATTTTTGTTCCCCTTCACCAATAGATACTTTATACCAAATTTGGTCAAATTGGTTGAGTGCTTGCAGAGAAGATGCTGAAAATGTTCAAAAGTTAACGCACGACGCACAGCGCACGACGACGGACGAAAACAGATAGCAATAGGTTACCTGAGTTTACTCAGGTGACCTAAAACACGGACCTCCAAAACACAGAGGTGGGATTAGGTGCCATGGAAGAGTGGGCATCCCTTGCCGACCGGTCACACCCGCCGTGTGCTCCTTGTCATGCTCGGGGAGTAACGGGGAAATCCGTTGTCAATTCGGTGTATAAATAATGGACTCATAATTAGAATGAAAAAAAAAAGTCAGTCAGGATGTGACTGAATGATAATTTGCATTTGCTTACAAGGTCATTGTATCGACAATAGAACTTACGAAATGATGACTTTAAACGAGACAGCTGATTTTCTTATTTCATCAACTTATTTGTAATCAATTTACCTATTTGTAGAAATTGTTCGTACATAGAGCATGCTCTTGCTCTTGAAATCAATTAATATATATCAACTCTGTATGCAGGTAATGAAGGTATGTTGCTGCCTAAGTAAGGGAAGTTGTCTATAGAAAAGTTAAATTCATCACGTTTATCATAGAGCTTGGTTGTTTGAATACTATATATCGTATCGACATATGGAATTTACCATTGTTAATTGACAATACGTCGTCGATATATCTAAATTTTGAGTTGAAGGCCACAACAATGTCAAATTGATTTCCAAGGTCCAATTGCTCATTCTTTTTATATATTTTTCTTGATTTTGAATCCTCGGATATCTCGAAGTTTGTTCTTAAAGTTAGTTTGTAGTTCTTAATTTGACTAGTTCTTTATTTTTTCTAAGTCCCTTCCAACTCGAGTTAACTAACGGTAGGTTTGACTGAAATGATATAATTTGATTATAACAGTTTCATTGATTGATTTTTGTTTGTTGCTTAACGTCCCTTTGGAGAGTTTTCACCCATATTAAGACGCCTCCACTTGCCAGTGGAAAGCTGCAAATTCTGACCGATACTCAGCACTAATAGCCATTGAGCAGGGAGGGATCTTTTTCATATCAGCACCATCTGCGACACAGGACCGGTCTCCGCGTCCAGCAGTTGGATTTGAACCCGCAAATAAAGGATCAACTCCTAGAGTTGGCGTTCTAACCACTGCGCCAAGCGGGCTTCTTATAACTGTTTTATACACACAAGAAAAATAAAAAAAAACAACATCAACACAAACACACTCTGACACATAACTGAACAGAAATGCCAAAACTTTCATGTCTGATTAAGAAAAACAGATTTTAAAATATCGTACGGTGTCAGGGCGAAGCTAATAGCAAAAGATAAAAAGCAGATCTGTTAACGTATTTTAAATTGATATACATGATTTTTTTTATGCTCTTCGAAACATTGTAATTCCTTCCATATTCTGTTTGTAGTAAAACTGAACATAGGACAGAAAATGCTCCTTCGAGTTTTTTTGCTGTCTTTTTTCGCATCATTAGTTGATTTCGTATCAGGTTTGGGTAAGAATTTATCATTTTATTTATTCAGCTTTTTTAAAACAAGAATGATTTAGCGAAATTTATTATATTTTGGTATATTTTCACAATCAATACTTTACTTTAAAATGTACTTTTCTGTGTAAGTACTAGATCATGTATTTGCAGAAGAGCCAACGAAATGTATCATCATACAGGACAAGCAAGCGCTTAAACTACCCAAGGGTTTGATTTATTTTTTTATATGTTTGTGTATGTTTTATGAATATAAATGAAAAAAGTATTCTTTAAATGGAGTTATTTATGAAACATTTGAAATGCTAGACATTAATGATTTAAGAGTTTAATTTTATTTGTTAATTGTACATATTTTGTTCATATTCAAAGAAAAAACTTTCACCTAATTTCTTAATTTCCTCTCAAAGTTCCAGAATTTCTTACAAAAAACAAAGACGTCTGTCGTCATGGAAGCGCTAACTGGCAAGGTGAGTATTATTTTGTCGGAAGGTTTAAAAAAAAAGTTGGGTTTTTTTCATATTCTTCACCCCACAACTATAGTTCTGCCAGACACTTTATAACGGGTGACGTCAATTTGAAATACATAATAGGAACCTTTAATCATAAATTTTTAAAACAGTCAAAATTTAGAGAACCCCTATACGAGTTGAGTTGAGAATTTTTTTGAGAATTCTCAAAATTTTATGACGGCGGACCCTGGTCCCTGCTGATAAAGCTGGTAACATTTAAACAACACTGCCTTTGTTTGTAAGGCGCATTGTTTTAAATTATATCTTTGATTGATTGATTGATTGTATATTGTTTAACGTCCCTCTCGAGAATTTTTCACTCATATGGAGACGCCACCATTTGCCAGTGGAGAGCTGCAAATTTTGTCCTTTACTCGGCACTCAGGGCCATTCAGCAGGGAGGGATCTTTTTCGTGCCAGCACCTACTGCGACACGGGACCTCGGTTTATACGGTCTCATACGAAGGACCGGTCTCCACGTCCCGCAGTGGGATTCGAACCCGCGACGTAAGGATTGACTCCTTACTTCGCGACTCTAGAGCAGACGCTTATATCTTAGAAGAACACAGAAGAACAGGGATTTAATTGTACTAGTGGTAATTCAACTTGTATCCAGAGCTCCCTCTCTAAAGATTGGTTGGTTGTATATTGTTTAACGTCCCTCTCGTGAATTTTTCACTCATATGAAGACGCCACTACTTGCCTGTCGAGAGCTGCAAATTTTGTCCTATACTCGGCACTTAGGTCCATTGAGCAGGGAGCGATCTTTTTCGTGCCAGCACCCATTACGACACGAGACCTCGGTTTATACGGTCTCATCTGAGGGACCGGTCTCCACGTCACACAGTGGTATTTGAACCCGCGACGTAAGGATCAACATTGTTTTATGGACTTTGAGATTGAATACTGTTCGTTATCTCCATATCCTCTTCCTTACTTCGCGACTCTAGAGCAGACGCTTTAACCACTGCGTCACGCGGGCGACTAATGAAATGGAATTCTGATATCTAAATTGGATCCCAAAACTTCACAAAAAAAGATACATAGAGGGTTCCAGTAAATGTTCTATCAAGCCTTCTTTACTTCTCACAGTTGTGAAGGAGAAACTACAGGATAACTTTGCAAAAATATATTCGAGAAGTGGTGTAAATCAGACGTGGATATATACTTAAAATTCAAAGGATCTTTTGTAAATTTGAAATCACATATTTTACCAAAACTATAACAGCATAAAAATTGACAACTTATCGACTTAATATATAATCACGATAAATAATGTTTTACCTATTTTCATTTTAAGCAAAACTATAAAGAATGAGATTCAAGATTTCAAATTATTTTTGTTACAATTTTTTTGCTATTTGTGCCATTTTTTTACGATCAGAATGAAAAAGGGTACCATTCCAACCCAAATATTATTCCATGTTTTTAATCTTGGCATTCTGACAAATATTTTTATATATTTCACAAAGGGCAAGAAAGTTTACAGTGCGGAACCAGTAGAGTATACATCAAATCAGAGTGTGTCTGTACCTATCATAATGTATGGGAAGCAATGTACCATGGACATACCTCATGTCCTGCCAACGAGAAATCAGACAGCGTCCTGCTCCTTAAATGTTAGTTATTAACAAAAATATTCTGATTTCAATAAAAACCAAGTGCTTGTGTAGATATCCTCTTTAAATTAGAGCTCATTGGAATCCGTTGATAACTACACTGTATAAAATTTTTCTTTACCAGTTTCTCAATGATATTTTTTTCCTCTTTTTATTCTCCAGGCTCAGACTGTGAAAAATATAGTCTTAATAATACGGGTCCGTGTATAAATGGAGGAATTCTGAATTGTGAAAATGATGCATTGGCGCCAGATATTCAATGTGATTGTCCAAATGGTTATTCTGGGATGTTTTGTGAGAATGAAATGCAGAAGGTATTTCAATTTCATTAACCATGTTAAAAACAATGATATCTTAAAGATTCATATGTAATAGACTTTAAGATATTGTTTACTTTCACACATAGGTGACAAGAGTATGTGACAGAACGCTAAATAAAGATGGTTTACAAAACTGTGATAGTACTAAAAAGGAATGCATTACGTATAGCGAAAAGAAGCATTATATGTTTAAGTGTGATGAAATTTTACCTATCGGGGAAGAAAATGGTACGTATTTACAATAAATTGATAAAATAATGCTAAAGTAATGATGGTCTTAAAATTGTATTTTAAAAGTAACTTTGGTCTTATAGGTAATTTCAAATTCTAAAGAAGAATATTTTCAAACACCTTCAATATCATTGACTTAAAATTTGTCATAATAACGTAGCTTGTTTGACTTGACAACGAGCACACGGCGGGTGGGACCGGTCGGCAGGGGATTCTCACTCCTCCATGGCACCTGATCCCACCTCTGATGTTTCGGAGGTCCGTGTTTGCTCTGCTCTGATTTTGTATATTGTTTAATGGACTTTGAGATTGAATACTGTTCGTTATCTCCATATCCTTCTTGATGGTGTAAGAATTAAGATTAGTAATAATGAAAAATGGTAGAATCAATTAGTAATTTATAGCGACCGAATGTTTTATGTTTTATCTACAGATTTACCCTTATGTAACAATACAGAAACAGTTACTGAGACCAAGCACTCTTCATCGGAATCTACAGATTCAACAATCTCTTTTCTGGAAGACGACGACAATAAACCAAGCAAAGACTTGACTTCAGGGACTAATGGAATGTTATCCAGTTTATTGTTAATATTTTTAACAAACCAAGGTTTTTATTTTCTGTTTAAATCATAATTGTATATCCTATTATTATATATTTTTATACTTCATTTTATAAAAACTATATTCTTATCATTTACTTTACATGCAGAAGTGATTTTATTATCAATCAGTATTGACAATTTATCATTTTGTACTGTGTAATATCATAGTTTTATCTAAACTCTGTGAAAGCCGACATTTCGAGTTTCGATTTCTATGCAAAAAATGACGATCTCAGTGAATTTTAATATTCATTGTACAAAATTCAGTAATTAAAAATTTAAAACATGACGTGTAAATGGGCTACCCAAATTGATTAAAATCTCAGAACCAGGTCAACTATTATCCGCTATTGAGGTTTGAAATGTTTTTTATAATAATTTGGACATGAAATGTACGATCAAAGGTCTAAGAATTGTCAAAAATTGATTCCTTTGAACAAAATATTTGAATTATTTAGTTCACTACTGTTATGAACAAAAGAGTTCTGTTAAAGTGTGGTACATGTAATGATTTTTTTTTGGTTTCATTGTGTATGTGTGTTTTTAGATTTTTTGAGGTTTTTTTTCTTTAAAAGGCTGTAAAAAGACATTTCATGATGCAATAATCATTTTAATCAATTTTATTACATGTGTTGCATGTGCCACTGGTAAACACAATGCAGTGAAAAGAGTCGATAAGTAATCAAATATTAAGGTACAATTTAGTGAATAACTACATGACATTAAAACATGCATTATTTACCTTCTTGCTTGTATTCCCTTGTCTATTTATATCATAAGCTCGCATATGAATCATATTTTTATTTTAAATTCTTGTAAACACCAGACTTTTCTATGCAATATTTTAACTGTGAAATATCATCATGTGTATTAGTCATTGATTACATGAAATGTTCTACGTATGATCAGTTTCTAAAACGAGGTAAGCTATTGACAAACAAATTGATATAACAAGAATATCAACAACTTCGTTAAAAGTCTTCATTTCGTAATTTCTATGGTCAATGCAATAACTTTGTCAGCAAATACAATATATCATTCAGTCAAATGCTTTTACGTTTTTCATCTATATTATTAGGTATAATTTGTACACTGAATTGTTAATGGCATTTCCCCGATGTCTCCCGATCTTGACAAGGACAACATTCTGACCAGTAGTTTTTCGGACAAACTTTGCACCGAAATTGCCTGAATATTCTGGACATTTATTTGAAATAGTAAATTTATGTACCTTTTTCTGTTAAAGACTAGAAAGTAAGGTATTGTCACATTGTATGCAATAAATGTTACATGCCATATTGTTTTCTGTAAAAAGATTGAAGTTCAGGAAGCAAACAGGATGCATAGAGCCTATGTATATGTCTTTCATAGCTACATAACAATAAAATGAGAGATTATACAATACTAGTCTTCACCACTTTTATCAATTCTATTAAGGTCGCCTGCGTGGCACCGTGGTTAAATCGTCTGCTCTAGAGTCGCGAAGTAAGGAGTCAATCCTTACGTCGCGGGTTCGAATCCCAATGCGGGACGTGGAGACCGGTCCTTCGGATGAGACCGTATAAACCGAGGCCCCGTGTCGCAGTAGGTGTTGGCACGAAAAAGATCCCTCCCTGCTCAAAGGCCCTGAGTGCCGAGCATAGGACAAAATTTGTAGCCCTCCATCGGCAAGTGGTGGTGTCTCCATATGAGTGAAAAATTCTCGAGAGGGACGTTAAACAATATACAATCAGTCAATCAATTCTATTTTAAAAAAACATAGAATTACTGTGAGCACTGAGCTCACAAAATTATACCCCTCCCATATGATTATAATGGCAAAGTTAATGTTTTGCTATGAGAGGCCCAGGAAATAAGAGTTAGATGAAAAAGAAAAATAGAAGGTACACAATGGCAGTAAGTGATAAAGAATCTATAAAAGTATCGTTGAATTAATTTCAGTGGTACAGAAGGAATTGCGTGATAGAAAATGGGCATTCCTCAATATGATAGAAAGAATAGTATTATCCATGTTTTCATATGGGAAACCAAAAATATGTGTCTTATCAAAAAGTAAAATAGAAGGTCATAATGACACAATGTAACAAAGATTTTATGAAATTTTACTCCGTGGTATAAGAGGAGTTGAGGAGAAGTGATGGGTACCCAAAGACGTTACGGACGGAGGTGTGGTCAGTGATAAACTGTAACCCCCGGCCTTTCAAGCGAGGGATATGACAATTTATCTCTCCTCGTTAAATCGATATGAGCATAATTTACAGTCGCAAGACACTTACAAATAAGGTGCTAAAAAAGTGATTTCGAAAATCATATCTAAACTCATCATATTCTACCGGTAGGAATTCTATGATGGAAATATACTTGTTTGCAGGTGGATAGATGACTGCCGTTTTTATGCAAATACTTGGGCCATTATTTCATTATTTATTGATTCCCCGTTTATTCGATCTTGATTAGGGGGTTAATTACACGCATGACCGATCTCAAGGGATGCTTACTCTTGCAAGGTAACAGATCCCAATTTCATGTTTGTTCAATCCGACGCTTACTATCCATGTATTGACTTTTAATAACTCGTCCTTTGCGTTTGATACAACCATCAATGTTTTCAGTGACTAGTGTCCAATCTAGTCTAATTCTATATAGTTTGATTGGACTATTCAGCATGATTACAGTTGTTCATGTTCTAATTTTACGTCTTAGTTTAGATCATAATGCATAGACAAATAAAAATTTCATTTCAAAGTTATTTATCTCAAACATATCACACCAATAAGCTGCGCTTAATTGAAACATCCAACCTCTGCATCCCACCAATACTGAAAAAATAAATAAGTGTCATTCAATTGTATCAATTATACGAAGGTATGAATAAAACTCCGATAAAAAACGAAAAAACAAATTAAGACAGCGATAAAGAGATTCCTTTTGCACTGTGTGCAACAAGGATGATTAAACATAAGAGAAATATCAAATACTATAGACACAGCAAAATACTTCATTCTTTTTTTTCATCACGAATTATTAATTCCACTCCTTTAAGCCAATGACCACTAAAAACGAATATGTAAGGCAGTAAACGTTGACGTGTATGGGGAACGAGCTAGCGGTAGTTATCAACATCTATTTCTCATTAACTGTTGGAAATATACTTGTCCACATAAAGAATATATAAAACTGTATGTACTAGGTCGTAAAATCAATAAATTAGAGATACCACCTCTTCGTGAAAAATGTGCACATGTTATATCTACTGTAGTATGAGCTGATGCCTCAAAAATATAGATCGTGTTAAAAACTTTTTAAATAATATAATTGTTTGTTTGCTGTTTAGCGCCCCTCTCCAGAATTTTTCACTCATATGGAGTCGCCACCACTTGCCAGTGGAAGGCTGCAAATTTTGACCTATGCTCGGCACTTAGGGCCATTGAGCATGGAGGGGTTGTTTTTCGTGCCAGCACCTACTGCGAAAGGGGACTTCGTTTTATACAGTTAATTATTAAATGATGATGGTAAATCTTATGGAGGAAGCATATTCACCAATTTACTTATCTTATATCCATCTGTTAAAGGGACATGGACACAGTTTCAACTGATTTTTTTAAAACCAATTATAATGTTCACAATTCCTAATTAAGGCAATTCAATGATCAGCAAAAATTTGAATATCATTTGTTGATTTACAAAGAAGATACCGAACTTAAAATTCTTCAAAATGTAAACAAGACTCGTGCTTTGTTTTTGTTTACATATAGAAAATATCATTTATAACAGAACAAGATTCAATAAATCACTAGATGTGTCTAATAATATTTAGAATTAAGTTCTTTATTGAAAAAAATTCTTTGAACTAAAATATATTATTATATTTAACCTATGTAAACAAAAACATGACACAAGTCCTGTTTACATAAGAAAGGTTTGGAGCTCTAAATCAGTCTTGTATCTCGACAACTAAAATTCAATTTTTTAAGTTTTTGCAAATTTTTATGCAGACTGGAACACACACTGGAGTGTACTTTGGACAAGCTGACGTACACACTTTGGAACAGGACAATTTACAGAGTATTCAACTTACTCTTACTCGTACCCCCCCCCCCCAAGCCTCCGGATTAGTTTGTGATAAAAGATACCACAGAGTCTGAGACATCCGTTTAATATTTAGATATTTTACTTAAAAAAGACGTTCATGGCAATCTAACAACCAAACTCTATGAAAAACGTGATGACTTTTTTTCAATAGTCAACTTCCCTTCCTTATGCAGCAATATACTAGTACCTTCATCCTCTGCATACGGAGTTTATATATCTGAATTTATTCGATACGCAAGAACATGTTTTACGTATGAGCAATTTCTAAAACGAGATAAATTATTGACAAACAAGTTGATGAAACAAGAATTTCAGCAGTTTCGTTAAAAGTCATTCTATGGTCGAAACACTGACCTTGTCAGCAAATACAATTTATCAAATGACAAGTAATAATTTGAGTCAAGTACTGACTGACGTATTTTATACAACTTGTAAGACCATTATTTATACACTAAATTAACAACGGACTTTTTCCGATATTTCCCGATCATGGCAAGGAGCAAAGAGCGGGTGTGACCGGTCGGCAGGGGGTGCTAACTCCTTCATGGTACCTGACCCCATATCTGAAGTTTTGGAGATCCGTGTTTGCTCTGCTCCTACTGAGTATTTTGTATTGTTATAGACTTTTGATCTTGAATACTGTTGCATTATGTCCATTCTTATGTCAATTCGCTATATCCCAATGAACTTGAGATAGATAAAACTACAAAATCTGACACATCTGTTTAATATTTGGATATTTTAGCGGGGAGAAACGTGATTTTATCGCAACAACAAAATTTGATAATACATGAAGGATATGGAGACAACGAACAGCACTCAATCTCAAAGTCCATAAAACAATACAAAACAAAAATAAGAGCAGAGCAAACACAGATCTCCGAAACATCAGAGGTGGGATCAGGTGCTATGGAGGAGTGAGCATCTCCTGCCGACGTGTGCTTCTTGTCATGATCAGGAAATAACGAAAAAAATCGTCGTCAATTCAGTGTATAAATAATGGACTAAAAATTGGTATGAAAAACGTCTTTCAGCATTTGACTCAATGATAAATGGTATTTGCTGACAAGGTCATTGTATCGACCATAGAACTTACGAAATGATGACTTTCCCGATCATGATCAAATGACAACGAGACGTTGATATTCTTGTTTCATCAACTTGCTTGTCAATAATTTACCTCGTTTTAGAAATTGTTCATATACGTAGAACATGCTCTTGTGTATCGAATCAACTGAGATATATATTATATCTTTAATTTTTCTGTCTTCACTTTTTCCTAATATATTTAGCAATATGCACTAAATACCTGCATATGGAGTTTATTCGATAATTAAGTGCATGCGCTACGCACGTATTATTTCTAAAACAATGCAACCTATTGATGAGTTGATGAAACGATATAAAATAAGTCAACATTTGGCAAATTCTACGGTCAATACAATAATCATCTCTACACAGTGGAACATTACATGTTAGTTGGAAGCTGACTGAAGTTTTTCATACAAATTGTTAGGTCTTAGTCATACGCTTGATGTTTTTCGGATTCTTCTGTTTGTCCGATAACATTTGACAAAGAACATACAGCAGGTGTGACCGGTCAACAAGGGATGCTTACTCCTCCCTAGCTCCCTGATGTTTTAGAGGACTGTGGTTGCTCTGCTTTTAACTTGTATTGTTTTAATACTTTTTGTATTTGATTTCTGTTCGTTAGCTCCTTTAAATAAATCAATTGAAATTTCAAACTTAAATTTAATCAATTTTGACAAAACTTCCTTTGTAACTAAGGTGGAAAACGAATGTAATGCCATAAAAACTGAAACTCAAGCTCAGATAAGACTGTAACGTTGATATTTATCAAACTGCACTTGCTTCACACGTTGTACAGGCTTATATCTTGTATTTTGTTGGCAATATGTGAAACAATATTAACATCGCCTTTTTTATCTGCTCAAC